ATCCGGCATTGAGCATGAAGCCCACCTGTGCAACCTGTTCCACCGCCTGGATGATTATGGCCTCGTACTTAATCCCAATAAGTGCCTCTTCGGCGTCGCTACAATAGAGTTCCTAGGCCACCTTGTCCCTCCAAAGGGTATCCAACCACTCGCCAGCAAAGTGAAGGCTATTCAAGACTTTCCACCCCCGACTAGACGGAAGAGACTCCGAGAATTTCTGGGCCTACTAAACTTTCATCGCTGCTGTCTTCCAAAGTGCGCCACATTCCTAAAGCCCTTGACCGACCTGTTGGCTAAAAAGAAAGACCCGGCTGTGCCACTGGAGTGGCCCAAGGACGCTGCATCTGCCTTCGGCACTGCCAAGAAGGCTCTGGCAGAAGCTACAATGCTCATACATCCCGTCCCTGATACCCCAATTCGTCTCATCACCGATGCATCAAGCGTGGCAGTTGGCGCCGTTCTCGAGCAGCACGTATGCGGTTGGCAGCCCCTTGGGTTTTTCTCGCAAAAAGTGAAGCCACGAGAGACAAAATACAGTACATTCGCCTGAGAACGCCTCGCAGTATACCTCTCCATTAAACATTTTCATCATTTATTGGAGGGCCGGGACTTTTACATCAATACAGACCACAAGCCCCTGACGTTTGCCTTCCATCGCAATCACAGCAATTATACTGCACGGGAGATCCATCAACTATGCTTTATTTCAGAGTTCACTGTGGATCTCAGACACGTACATGGGCCGGAAAATGCTGCTGCTGATGCACTATCCCGCATCGATGCCTTGTCGACCTAGCCCCCACAAGACATGGAAGAGCTAGCAGCTGCCCAAAGCAACGATCCTGAGCTGCATCGTCTTCGCTCTTCATCCACGTCTCTATCGTTCACGGAGTGCCCGCTTCAATTTTCTACCTTGTTAATAACGTGCGAAACGTCTACTGGTGTCCCTCAGCCCTTCGTGCCTTCAGCTTTTCGTCGTGCAATTTTTGATCAATTGCACAGCATGAGCCATCCTGGTATTGGTGCGACGCAGAAGCTAGTCCCATCTTGTTTCCTTTTGCCAAGCATCAATGATGATGTCCGACGCCGGGTGCGAACCCTCCTTGAGTGCCAGCGCGTTAAAGTTCACCGTCACACGGTCACGGCAACATCCCCGTTTCGGCCTCCAGACGCAAGGTTTTCTCACGTCCATCTCGACATCGTCGGTCCTCTTCCGTCATCGCAAGGAGCCTGTTACCTGCTGATATGTGTGGATCGCTTCACCAGATGGCCGGAAGCGTTTCCCATTTCCGACATTACAGCACCAACAGTTGCCAAGGCTTTCACAAACGGCTGGGTGTCGCGCTTTGGATGCCCTTCTGTCGTCACCACTGATCGCGGTCGTCAGTTTCAATCGGCCCTTTTCACTGCACTTGCCAATATCCTGGGCATTCGACACGTCCACACAACTGCCTACCATCCTTCGCCAATGGCATGGTCGAACGGCTTCATCGACAACTGAAAGCTGCCCTAACTGCTCACCAGCCAAGGGAACGTTGGCTCGACCACCTCCCCTTCGTACTTCTGGGCATCCGATCAGCAATAAAAGTGGATCTCGGCTGCTCATCAGCCGAACTAGTCTAAGGCGTTTCCCTGCGTCTTCCAGGAGAATTCTTCGAGCCATCATCGCCATCTTCCACTCACGATGCCTCCACGTACATTCGAGAGCTGCGCACCACGTTTCGGGACCTTGCTCCTGTGATTCCGGCCGACCGACACCTCCTGTCTGTCTTCGTCAGTCAGGATCTGCATGACTGCAGTCACGTCTTCGTTCGGCGTGACCAAATACGGCCACTACTATCAACAGCCTATGATGTCCCATTCCGCGTACTCCATCGTACACCTAAGACGTTCACGCTGGACATCAATAGCCGTGAAGACATCGTGGCTGCTGATCGACTGAAACCTGCGTATATCGCCGCTCTCGCGGCCGCGGGGTTTCAATCTAAAGTCTGGATGCCAACATCCGAGCATGGCCACTGGGCGACTCCTCTGGTGATTCCTACGGCTCTCGCTCTACGGGGGGGGGGGGGGGGGCGAGCTTTGTAGCGCCTCAATGGCGCCGCTCGTCAAGGAAGAAGAAGTTGGCATTAGGGCTGCGCGGCGGGTGCAGCGCGATAATAAAAAAATCAGTTCAAAAACTGAACGCTGTCAGGGCTGGATCTTTCCCTTGTTAGCTGCGACACTTAGATGATGTCGTTTTCTCTCCTGATTTTGACACCCACGTCCGTCGTCTCAGCGAAGTCCGGAGCTGCTTAACGCACCCAGGCCTTCAACTAAACATGAAGAACAGCCACTTAGGAGCTCGGAAACTCATAATACTTAACAACGTCGTCTGAACACATGGGGTCCTTCCAGACTCAGAGAAGCTTCGTGCTGTCGCTGAGTTTCAGAACCTACGACCCATGAAGTGCTTCGCAGCTTTGTCGAGCTGTGCTCGTACTTTCGACGCTTTGCGAAGAACTTCGCTTCCATAATCGCAACATTGACAAAGCTGCTCATCGCCGATGGACACCTCTCCTATTGGTCACCAGTATGCGATGATGCTTTCGCAAAATTACGCCATGTACTTACTTCACCACCTATTTTACGCCACTTCACCTGCCCCACCAAAGTGCACGCTGATGCCAGTGGCATAGGACTCAGCGTTGTCCGTGCTGAACGAAAGCCTGTCTTCTCGGAGTACACTGTAAAAAATGAGAACCCTCCTTCACGGAGAATGCAGAAGGTATAGTGGTGCCGAGCAATTCTGTGAGCAAGAATACAACTATCTCCTTAAGACGGAACCTCTTCACGAAAGTCATGCTTCACCACAGTTACCACAGAAAAATCCGTCACTCTATTAAGGCGACATATCTTATTCCGTGATCAAAATACAACAATTTCCTTCGAACAAGGCGTTCTTACCTTTCTATACGTTATTGCAACTAACACAGAAAATGTTTGTATTGTTCCACACAACTGTCTGTTCCACACAACAGTATGCCACAACAGTTTGCATGGTTCCGCACAACAGTATCCCGCACCACAGCTGTGCCACGTAGCCTGCTTGCAAAATATAGCAATGAAGGATTTCATTTGTGTTCTGCGTGCTTGCGAATGTGAGTTATTTGGGTTGTTTGATGGATAGTTTTGTTGGCTGGACCTGCTGTTAATTAAGTTTCTGGGCACACCTTCATCTGCAAGTGAACACAGGATACATAGAATGATTACAACGTACTATATGTTCTGTACAGGTAGCATGATTTTGTGAAATGAATGCAGTCATTCATGGATAGCTCCCTAAAGTACCTGTTTGTTATGTACACAACACCAAATTGAACAAGAGTCCAGTTGATCAAAACTCTACACAAAGAACACAAAAATGGACTGTGCAGCAAACAAAGACACAAAGAGCACATGACATTTTATAGAGCTAATAGTGGCACTGAAATGACAAAGATGGGACAGGCCGAACATATACAAGCCTGTCCCATCCTTGTGATTTGAAATGCTACGCTGAACTTTATGAAAATGTTACACCAACAAGGCCAAAAATGTACCCGTGCTAAGTTCACATGACATTCTCCTTTTCCCCATTTTGCAGATTTATTTTTGTTGAGCTAATCTGTACATGCAAAGATGTTCCAAACTACGTGTGAATTAATGAGTGTAAAAAGTTTACTTGGACTTGAAATCAGTAAAGTTGCATAAAAATGTTCCCATCTATAATGGTGGCAGTTGCTGCATATGTTGGCAACAAGTCAGTGAAGGTTGACCAGTTCTTTAGCAATATACATCCTCGTGAGCATGTTGTTCTTGAAAGTTTATGGTTGACAACAAATAAACCAATATTCCAAGTCCCCACTCCCTCGGATCTGTCTCCAAGCCACTTTCAAGCACTGTTTATATAGAAGCTATGCCTTGTTGTACAGCAGTTAAACTCAGTCTTGGAACAAGCTGCACTGGTGGCGATAGCAGCATCCCCCCTTTGCAGTCTTTAAACCTCTCTACTCTTTCTGCCAATTTGCCAATGGGACTGGCGTTGCGATACCCCAGTGTACTTTGTACGAGACCTTGCTCCGATCATGCGCAGGTGTGTGGTCTGTGAACGTATGTCCCAAGGTATACGGAAAAGCACTGAAGATTTGAGTGAGTTCATCGGTAAAGTGTAACGCAAATATTGGGACGCAACTTCCATTGGCAAAACAAATAAAAAATGGTCACCGAAACTTAAAGAACGTAAAGAGGATGTTGCTTAAGTTCTCCATGATTGATTGATATGTGGGGTTTAACGTCCCAAAACCACCATATGATTATGAGAGACGCCGTAGTGGAGGGCTCCGGAAATTTCGACCACCTGGGGTTCTTTAACGTGCACCCAAATCTGAGCACACGGGCCTACAACATTTCCGCCTCCATCGGAAATGCAGCCGCCGCAGTCGGGATTCGAACCCGCGACCTGCGGGTCAGCAGCCGAGTACCTTAGCCACTAGACCACCGCGGCGGGGCTAAGTTCTCCATGACAAATGTTCTGACACATAGCTTGTTGAACGCTGCTGAGTGACAAGACATAGCTGCTGCCTGAACAATTTGACTATGCCACCTCGAGTACAAAAGTGACAAAACACCAAACTCTTGGAGTCGTGGTCCATTTGTTACCATATATCAGCTTCCAACAACACCGTCCTTCTTTGTATTAATGTTTACAAGAAAATATGTGACCAGTGGACTGGTTGAACTTTGCACACTTATTGCCAGAATATACTGAGAACGCTGCCTGCATAGATGTCAAAGCTTTCATGTCATCTTGTTATTAATTGTTGTGCAAGGTCAGAGTAAACAATTTACAGCTAAGCCACCAATCCAGAGCGTATGTGGGGGTAGTTTGCATGTATGCACTGTGCTGCATTATCTTGCAGATGTGTGAGTCATACCTGCTGCAGCATGCCAAATGAACAATGAAGTGCACTACTACACGCTTCTTTGAACACAACTTTGGCAGATGTATTCATAAACATAAGTGTCAAAAGTGCTGACAGCCCGCTTTTGAAACTGTCTGCATGGCCCGTGAACAGCTTCACTTGGCTCCTTTCTGTATGTTTGAAAAGGAAGTACAAAAAGAGAACTATTGTAACAGCAGCAATGTTCAGAGTTTAAACAACTATGGTGTCTACTACATCCGCTCTGTTCACACCACTATTTAATGAATCACAAAAGCAGACGGTATTTCTGGACAAGAACTGATCACATGCTGAACAAGCAGCAGAATGCTACGAAGACGTATTGCTATAGTGGACAAGAACGCAACGTTAAAGACACTATATTCTAACTGCAAAAGAATTCATGGGCCAGGATACCAAATTCTGTTTATTTGTGACATGGTGTGGCAGTTACAATTTCTGTAACTACTGACACCATGGAGAGTTATGTGGGGGGAACAAAAAAATTTTGCATGATATTATGAAATCTTACACAAGACAAAGCATATTGTAGACCACTGCAAAGGCCTACGTGCGGCAGGGAACATATTGTAAAGGCACCTTTGGAGCGAGAAACAGGAGCTGTGAGATAAGAGGATCAGGACTATGTTGCCGTTTACGTAGCCTCAACCCATCCAGAACTCTGTCACTGCGCGTGACAAAGTGCTGGATGGGTACACGTCGCCTTATTCATAACATCATGGTGGAGGTATTCGCCTGATGAAGACAATAAATAGTGCATCAACATAAATGGTGAGCAATAAATTAAGAAGCAAGGCTTGCATATAAAGTTTTTTTAAAATTCAATAAACACTACATGACAGTCGTACATCTTATTACGGCCGGAGCTAACATGAAGATGGGGGCTTGAATGAGTGTCATATTGCTAAATTAAGTATGTGGTTTAAGCCAATGTTTGAGTAATACAATTTGTCTAAGTTGTGGCAGCAACCATGATGCAGTTTGCTGCCTCGGTAAAGAAAAGTTCTATTGTCGAATAACAAGCTCTTACATTCGTTCAATGATTTTTTGATCAGGTATGCATCTAAACACATTCCTTACAAATCCTCAACTTTAACAAAGCGTCTATCGTAATAATGGGTGCAAAACTTAGGCTGCAAAAGAAAAGGCTTTTAGCAGGTGCTGGCTGCTCTACAGTTTTATAACATTATGTTCATGATGCTAAAATGAGTGATTCGACAAGAGGACATTCATTAACCAGAGCAGCAAACCGTATCAAGGTGACTGCCATGACTTAGACAAACAATTTTTGTTGAAACATTCAAAACAACCTAATCTTAAAGAAAACTTGATTGGCTCCAAAAACAAAATTTCTTTAAAATTTGACCCTCATTCAAGCCCACCCCCCTATCATCATCTTAACTTCTGCCATAATAAGACAACACTCATGTAGTGTTTGATAGAATTTTAAGAAATGGACAGTAAGCCTTTCTTCTCAATGTAATGCTCACCATTTACGTTCATGCTTTAATGACTCTTTTATCAGCTAAAGAACCCAGGGTAAAAATGTGTGAAGGCGTTTTCAATTTTTAGAGTCAGAAATATTTTTAACTCTTGATAAATGCCCTTAAAACAAACAATTTATTCTACAAGAAAAAATCACTCTTGTAAAAATATACGAAAAACACTGCAATTTGTCATGTTTGATTTGATTGATTTGTAGTGTTTAATGTCTAAAAACCACCATGTGATTATGAGAGACGCCGTAGTGGAGAGTTCCGAAAATTCCGACCACCTGGGGTTCTTTAACGTGCACCCACATCTGAGAACACGAGCCTACAACATTTCCGCCTCCATCAGAAATGCAGCCGCCGCAGCCAGGACTCAATTCCGTGACCGGCGGGTCAGCAGCCGAGTACCATTTTGCCAGGTTTCCTCATGACCAACATTAGCATAAATTGAGACAGAAATAATTTCGATACCATAGCCATGAAATTCTGCTGACAAAGAAACAAAGACTGTGGCAAAAGCATGAAGCAACAATCATGTGTCAGTAATTTTTCTCCCATAATTCAATTTCTGAGCACATGGTTTGGAAGGCCTGTGCTGTATTACAAAGTTTTTCCCAAAAATAGTGCTGGAAGAACTTTTTCCCACATTGAGGCAACAACGCACCTGTTTTGGAAAATATAGCAAATGGTCAAAAAACCACTTCACAGACTAACATGACAAGACCATGAACACTCGCAAATACTTACAGGTTAATGCTCAGTCACAGTTTCTGAGGCAGCCCGATGGCTTCTCGTGTGTCCATCGGTACTGCCTTCTGTCCACCTTTGGGCCAGTTTTTATAGAATGTCTATCGAGAAAAAAAACATTCGAAACAATTACCTTTTTCTAGCATGCCTCATGTAGCACAACTTGACTTTCTAGGCCTCATAAGGTAGCAGTTTTGAAAGCATGTTAACAGCTGCTGATTTAGGTATGTATACTTCATAACTCTTTAGCAGTCATTGTTAAGCAAAAAGTCTAACAGAATAAAGCAGGAAAAAAAAACATTTTACAATAGACATAAATTAAACTTCTTAATACTCACCCAATAACTTTTTTTCTTTACGCATTATATGCATACATTTTGAAAAGACTGGGCATGAAAAAATGGCCGCAGGCGAGTCAGGACACTTCAAATGCCAAGTAACAATGAGAAGGCACATTAACGGAACATATAAGACAGTTAACCAGATGCCCATCCTTAAACCTACCTTTATATCACGACTTAAATGCATGCCAAAATTCCAATCATGCAGTTTCTTGTAAGCACAGAAATGAACAATTGCATTTCAGGGTTGAGGCTTGGCATAGCGACATGTGGTACTGTATGTGTGAGCCAGCCATCGAATAACTCAACGAAAAGATCAAATGCTCAGCAGTTATTTCTCATATAGGCCAACAGGCATGCCGTCTTGATCGATATCCCAACTTGCCTTGTTTCGTTTCTACCTTAATGTCAACTATTCCAGTTCGTGTTTGCGGTGTCTTGACTACTCTCTTCGAGTGCATGTTTGCATACCCTGCCTTTTTAACATGAATACAAACCTGCTAAGCAGCTTACCTCTCCTATTTGAAATATGTATACAATCTAGAGTTACCACTTTGGTCACTTGATGTAACAATAATAATGAGCTTCTGAATGTAAATGTCAATTCAAAAGCACTTAGGCCTCTAGCATTTTTACCTCCTTCAAAATTTCAACTGCTTCCCTAAAGATCAAATCCACTCAGTGCGGGTGTTGTTCACATGGAAGCATAGCTGTCAGCAACGTAAGATAAAGTTTAGGACTGTGAAAAGAGCTCTAAGTAAAAGCAAGACACGCAACTAGCAAGGAGCCACATATTATCCGGCCTAGAATCTATTTCTGGCAACCAAGAATGCTGTGGCGCAGGCCATGCAACTCGGCAACTGTTCAGCTTTTCTTTCTGAACGAAAGCTTAGTAGTCAATATTGATATCAACTAATTGCTCTAAAAACAGCAGTTAAATTGCGAAAAAGTAAAAGCCAAAGACCAAAAAAATCTCCACAACTAATAAAATAATAAACACTTAATGATGCAAGTACGCCCAATACACCATTTTAGATGCGCTGGTTGAATATATTAGGTAAAAAAAAGCAGCAAAGCAATGAACATCCAGCTATGTAGCTGCAAAAGGGGAGAAAAGAGATGGCTCTAGCGCCATGAAAAATCTATGAAAGTACTATCCACAGACTTGAACTGGTATAGCGCATTACGGGGAAGAAGAAACGGCCGAGCAGACCGACACAAGAGGACAGAGCGCTAACTGCCAACTGAGACACGTCCTCTTGTGTCGGTCTGCTCGGCCGTTTCTTCTTCCCCGTAATGCGCTATACCAGTTCAAGAACGATGAACCAACTCGCCCAATCTTCAACACTCGTGGACTATCCACAAAAAAAAGCTTGGTTGAAGTTAAATCCACAACAAATGCGAAATAACACTACGTCGGTACTCAACGCTTGTAATTATACTGGTGACTTCATAGGTCGGAATGTAATATTTTTTAAAAAATTATTTTCTCAAAGTGAAAATTTAGCTTTATCGAACATTTCTTGTCCCGCAAACTTCTTCTGTTGATAGTATATATTGAAAATACAGAATGTTTCGTATAATGAACACATAAATATTGACAGAAGCTGTAGACTATTTCACAGATGAGCATTGCAAAATATAAATCAACAAAGCCTTGCAGTGCATAAATTGACCATTAATAATTGAAGCGTAAAAAGCTACTAAACAACCCCACCGTCAGAAATTTCTGATAACTGCAAAATTGTAAAATTTGGGCACGTTGCCATAAATTTTGTGCTCACATGATGAAATGAGCCACAACCAATAAAACACAGACAATAAAAATCAAAGCCAATAAAACACACATTGTAGCTGTTTTCAGTTCTCCCTCGGCTTCTCCATCGTTCTCATCATGAAGGGGGTACGCATACGTTACCATCATGACTACAGTCACATAGCAACAAAGCATGACGTCAGTGATTGCATAATTAACAAGCAGCCATCAACTAAGCAAGGCCTCGTTGATGTGCCGCTGAGATAGATCGGCATGGTGAGGAAGTGCTGTGCAAGGCATAGGTGAGATAAACAAATATGCAGCACACCTCACAACGACACAATCTATACGGCGAAATTTTAGGGCCAAAACACTATTCCATATTGCAGAGAGAACCAACCGACATTCAGTGCAAAATCACATCCCTTTGCTAGCGAAGACTATACACTGGTGAGGTAATGAAGGGGTCACCATAATTGTTTTTCGAAATAAAGTTTCAGTGATACTCACACGATGCGATTATTGCAGCACTCTGTATGAATTAGCAAGATGGTTTGGAAGGTGATAAAAAAGAAAGACAGAGCCAAAGCTGCTAATGGCACTTTAAGAGAATGTAAAACACACTAAGCAGGGAATTACTTTTGCAGACATAGGGCTATAAGCAGTAAAACTGACAATTAACATGCTCACTCCATGCAACATAGGAATGTCTCACACCTTTGCAAGAACTTTACTGTGGTGGCTGCACTGTCTGTGTAGGCCAGAAGCAGCCGGCCCGTGGCTCTCAGGCATCTGATCCGTTCGTTGAAAAGAACTTGTAGCTCAGATCCTTGTAGCACTGCTTTTGGAACGTGCTTCCTGCGATAATAAAAGTAGTACAACACAGTTATGCTCTGTGAACACTCACATGAAATCCACATTGGTACCTTAAAAACTTTTTTCAGCTATAGACTGAACCACAGCAATACTCTCTTCTGTTATAATGGAGCACCTTATTGCTTTCCCTGGCCTGGTTTTTTGTTTTCACCCATGGGAAAATTCAGCAGAAGTGGACCATTAGTTAAAAAGAAGCAGTTCTAAAGCATGAATTTAATATACAATATAAAAATAATGGAATAATTTTGCATGATATAAGAAACTATAATTCTTGTAAAGTCCCACCACCAAGAAATGAGTGAGCAAGCTATGACGTTAAGGTATCACAAAATAATGGAATTTATTCAAAAACATTATGCACGTAATTCTGCTATTAAAATGTGCTGTTAATAGTGACTCTGTAGCTGCAAGTGCCTGCTGAACTTTCTCGAGTGCACTTAGCAAACCTGTGTAACGATAATGACAGACAGAGAAAACCCAGTTCTCACTCAGCTGCCCCCCCCTCACAGCATCACGTTGCTTGACATAAGGTATCCAGGATGCAGATGCATGAACTTTGCGGCTATGTCGTACCACAGCGAACGAGATCCCCATCTGCTCGAATTACGTGAGCAGCTGAAAAATGCTCCATTGTGCAATGAGCTGCAACAATGCAGTACTGCTAGCTACCAGTCGCTTCACTGTACACCGACAACAAATTTTTGCACCAGCAAGATTTCGCAGTGTATACAAGCTTCTGAACACAGTATTCAATGCTACCAGCTGCATTCACTATTTTAATATCAATATGCATAGAATGTGCACACAGTAGTAATTAATTGCACCAAGTAGAAAAGTACATTTCAGGTATTCTTAAAAATTCATAGACAAGCATCAGGCACATCACTCGAGCCTGTTGTATAGCATCAGGGGTGAAAGCGTGCTTGCAAACGTACACAGAAAAATTAGCATTTGACCTTGAAAATGATAAAAACTAGGTGTATGTTTGGCAGAAACAAATCGCATACAGTAAAGACAGTCCAAAACACTGCAATGAAGAGGTTGTAAATTTCAAAGTGGGTCACTATTCTTCACACTGTGCATGCATTCTCGAGAAAGATAATGGTGCTTGCTGCAAAAAACAATAAAGTTTTACAGTTTTTGTGAATCTTCACTTGCCAGTACCCCATTCTACAGAAAGGCAACACTTTGCGATACCATGTCACGTTTCTAGACGAATTGCACTCGCCATGGTGACAAATAGGTGGAGTACTGTTCTACAGCATAATTTCTTGGGTCTAAACTTTATGATAACAATAATTCTTAATATAGCTAGCTGGATTCTTCGTCAATCCCCGTTGTTCTTGGCCATCTTTCATTGGAATCGATTATCAGAAGATATTGCCACAATTCATAATCACGATTTGTTTGTAAGCCACTTGAAGTGATTTTTATTATCAGAGCCATGAACCATGTACTATGTGCGCTTGCTTTGTATTTCTTTTCTATTTATTTTTGTTTGTTTGTTTGCTTTTGTACCGTTTTCTGTTACATGCCCACTCTTGACTGTGTTTGCTCTTGAATTGAAATGTACTCAACACATTGTTCTCCCCCCCCCCCCCCCCTATGTAATGTCCTTCGGGGCCTTTAGGGTATCTGAATAAAAAAAAGAGCCTTTCTACAGTTGTTTATGTGAAGCAATTTTATCTCAGTGGGAGGACACAAGAATAGCGGTCACATATTAATGAGCGGAAAAACACAGTGACTGGTTGTGCAGCAATTTCCAACTATGCTCATTCATGGACACCATTACACTTTTGCCTCAAATAATTGTTGCACATAATTACCACTTAGGCATGAATAATGTTAAGTTGGTAGGTAGCATACATCCTGATGTTACTCTGTATACCCTCACTTATTTTGCAATATTTTCACTTTGACATGACTAGCTCAAAACAACACTCTTTTTCATTTAATGGAACTTTGTACATTACCTTTGAGTTTGCCACAGATGCTGAATAAGCACCTCTTATGGGATGCTTGGCTCACCATGTGGTTAGCACCGCACAGTTTGTCAGGGCACTTCTGCTTGCTACCTGCAGTACGCATAAAAAAACTTACGCATTCAAACAAAAACAAAGCAAGTATGGCAGCAGCATTTCGCCCTTTGGAGATAGAGAGGGGGAGGGGTAGTGCAGCATTGTTCTTCATAAGCTACAGACACATGCATTAACTGTTTTAGTTTGGCGCATAAGCAGTATAGAAGAGTGAAAATGGTTATAAGAGACAAGCGGCCGTCTATTTGAAATCCTCCAAAGAAGGCAGAAACACTCACTTGGGAATTTACAGTATGTATTCTGTGCCATCTATAAAAAGTATGTAAAGTGCGGAATTTCATTACCACGTGCACACTATTAACCCAAAGTGAAACGACAACGTATTGCACTCGCTTCGCTGTCCAACTGATGCTTCTGAAATTTCCTGAAGTTGCACAGACAGCAAAGTGTTCTGGCCAAATTTAGGTATACCCATTTCAACAAGCACCACTGGCTTGAACTCCAAGTGAGAGCACCAAATGAAGTCATTTAATAGTGGCATGTGACTAATGCCTAAGCGTTTAAATAAAAATGCAAGTATAATTCAGTTTCATGTTCGATTTTTATTGTCAATTCTCCAACGTGTCACCTTTTCTCTGATGCTGGGTATTGAGATAAAGGCAAAATATTCTTAAAATATAGTATTAAAATATGTTTACCAGCAACAGTCATACTACATTATACCAAGTAGTGCTAGCGATATCTCTGCCAACATTGAGGGCAATGACAACGGCATATCTCAGAAACCTTCACAGTCTTTCATTGAGCTTCAGTTAAAGGCCGCAGCCACTAAATGAACATTGAACCCCTTGTATCGGAAACTGATTGAGCTGCTTTTCTTCAAAAAACTTGTGGGCGCAAGGTGCAAACATTGACGGAAGTAGATATATCCCTGGCAACGGGGACTATACCGCTCGGAGTTGATGTGCCGGCACTCTTGCCAAACCGTTAAAGCAAAGGCAGCTTCTTCGTTCCTTTTCGCCCTATGAGCTTCGGAAGCGCCCGTGCTAACGCGCTGTGAATATCCCTCGGGGTTGCTCCAATTAGGCGATCTCTTCCGTATGGTGTTTTCGTTTTGTTTTTTTAATACATTTTTTTTGATAGCCAAATATTGAGAGCCGCAATACGCCACAGCATAGGTTACTGGCACCCATGTGAGACGAGAAAGTTACTAACAGACACTGCGAAAATAGCGAAAGCCAAAAGAACAAGCTGGACGTAACTTCCGCAACTATTGCCGCCACAAGACCTGCAAACGGTAAAATAAACGCTGCTGGCAGAAACTGCCGTGCTAGTGTCCATAAGTGCAATTGCAGTCAGATACAGCCCAGCTGTCACACCCATGCTAATCAAAGTGGCTTCTTTCTCTACACGGAACTTCACAACTGAACCTCGTTCGTGTCGCCTGATAACGCAACTGCAACGAAAAGGATTGGATGCGCCGTTTTGTCGGCCACTTACCCGGGGCCTAGAGGAATTTTCGTCAACTATAACGCAATGCGTACTGTAACGCGACACGTGACAGCAGCTATCAAGCCCACGCCGCTAAACCCCTTGTAACCAACTTCACGGTCAGGAGCACGCAACACCACTGCACAGAATTCGCAAATACGCCGAAGCCACGAGTGCAAAAAAAAAAAAAAAGGCGCTTTCGAGTAAGGCTCTGTGCGACTTCAAAGCAGCGTAAACATTCAAGGCATGAGCATTTTGTCGGCAGTCGAACAGGTTGAAGGCGGGGAAAATTCACGAGAGCAGTTTGATAGGACTTACCTGATAGCGAAATCCACAAAAATTGTTCGCTGGTCAGCTTGGTGGGAAAGCTCCGATAGAATTGTGACTTAAAGCAGTGAAGTTAACGACACTTTGCGCGAATAGGACAACAAATACACGTCTTGGTGTCGCAAATCACCGTTGAACATGGTCGTTTCTAACGAGTCCTCGACCGCGACGTTCCGCCGTGACAAGCGTCCATGTTGTCTGGCGAGCGCCGCGCATGCGGGACGTTGCATGCGCCGCGTACTTACATCACGTGACCAAGTCGGCGAGATGTGATCGCGAGCCGGCCCGCCGATGCACGGCCGCCTAGATCGGAGCACGTGGTGGTGTTTTGATGTCACGAAGGGGCCCACGCTCTGAGGAGTTTCTTGTTGAAGCAATAATGAAACCATGCATTGCAGTTGCGGTATAAGCTCGTTGTATTCGCTACACACTCCAACGCAGTACAATAACGTGTGTACTTGAGAATAAGACAGTTCGTAGAAAAGGTGAGGCTGTCGTAGTTATTTTTGCGTGCAAAAACATTATAATTACACCATGAAATTACACGTACGCGCTGTTTGACTGACGAGATGAGCTCACGCATTCAGTTGTGCAAAGCACGTATACGGAGTTTTTTTGCCTGCAATTCCGACCACTTTATTTTGTTTGATAAGTTAACAAAACAGAAAAAACTTCCTTACCGAGAATTAAAAAGAAGATTGTGCACCAGCTCTGTTAATTTCAACGCACTTGGTTTTTCATTTGTTCTTGTACGCCAAATCTGAACACCCTTAAATGCTTGATGATAGGACATATGAATATTAACATCAGAGGGATCACAATTATTAAAAAATTCCCGCAAGTTCATAACAACGTGTGGAACCCATCATTACATCGATACTGGTTTCAACGACATATCATTGATGATAATGAGATGAAACCACCAATGTTTTTATGCTCTCTTTGGCAAAACAACCCACTTACGACAATGCCGCTGTGCCGCATGATCAGTTATATCAAACAAGTGTGGCTGCTGTGAGTTCGTGTCAAAAAAAAAAAAAAAAGGGGTGGGGTAATGCGCGTAATGTGTAATCCTCGAAAAGAAAGCAGCAAACGAGGAATGTTTGCGTCCCAACACCCCTCTAATATTATGAGGGACTCCGTGTGGTAGTGCTCTCTAGAAATTTCACTATCTGCCAGTTGAAGAGATAATGAATAAAAATTATGAAAATTTGACAAAAATACGGAAATTCGTTAGGAAGGAGCGAATGTTCCGCGGAAAAAGTTCACATATTTTTGAGTAATTTGGTTGTATATTTTGTAGATGGTCATCGCGCGGTGGCAGTGCGTGACCCTTGCCGTCTTATTCTCTGAGGCTCACGCAGGGTGCAGGTGTTGAGATCATTCTCTTCCCTTTTTTACCTCTCCTTTCTTCCTACTCTTTCCTTGCACAAAAGCGCTGATGCTTTAGCTGCAAGCCGGGAGCATTACTCGCTGCCAGTGCCGTTCGTTGTGGGGTCATTCTACGCCAAACATACCAGCTATTTTGGCGACCACCTCAAATCGATTCGAAGAAATATCCTGCTGATTTACTGCATTGAAAGCAGTGAAATACTAGAATATTTCGGGAAGAAAAAAATTGTGGTCACGTCAGTGCTTGCTGAATTTATCCAAATGTCGTTTGGCTGTTGTTCGTGAAAAAAGTTTATTTTGAAAGTGTCACTCCCTCTTTCAATACCAAATTTAGTTTATATAATAATTAATTGTGACTGTACAAGGCATTTTAAGCTAATCATCATTAGTGCAGTTTTTTGGCACATACACTACAGGAACTTAGCCGAAAGGGGTTATGTTTGCAGTTTTTATATTGCATTACTGCTCTTTTGAATATTATCCGAGAAATCAATAATTACTTCTTAGAAGGTATATTTTGCAAAAAACTTACCTTTGCACCCCTCTAGCCGGAAAACTTTAGGAGACAAAATCACCGATTTCCCAAAATCATCAACTTTGTCCACGTTGAGGCTAATTTGCACAACGTGGTGTCTAATTAAAGATAACATTTATATCCAACTGGAAAGCAAGTAAGCAGTTCTATTAATATCCCAGGTTTTATCATTACAAGTTTTGTTTCACGGAAGAAAATATTTTTTTAAGTTTCCAATTGGCGGCTATCTTCTTGTTTGGTTTTATGGCAGCTTTCCTCTTGTTCCCCGTGGCCCCAGCATTTCTCAAGACAAACAGGGCATTTCCTCTCTGCCTGAAGATAAATCTACGACATGCCTCGCACGCGAGTGATGTTATCACATGCGCCTTTCAGGTGACTGAGATGGGTCGGCTTGCTTCCCCTTTGCTTCAGGCGCGTTTGTAGTTTTCGCTCGCGTTCATTTACCCGCGGCTAGAACACATGATTTCCGGGGGGTGTTATTGATTCGAACTTTATATGGTGAGTGACGGCGATGCCGATATCAGAAACACGTCAAGAGTATTCATATCACAGTAACGAGGTTAAAGGGGAACTATGAAAAAACGAATGTTAGTTACACGCACACAGGCTCTCTGTCAACACATCGTGTCCAGTGGCCTAGTTGTGGCATTTCGGCTAGAAAATAACTAGTCAGAGCAGCCAACTTCTAGACTTTTCTATAAGGTTCACTGAAGAAGGACATTGTCTCCATACCTACAATAACAGCACCACGTTCGTTGGCATCCATGGCCATTTTCTTCTGCTTCCACGAACTCAGATGCACCCGTGAGCTCTACGTCGATCTTTGCCATGCCTCTGACGGGCAGTTTTTACAGTGCATGTAGTGTCGTATGCCAGTCGCACCCTAACTAAGGCAGAGTGCAAATACTCGGTTTCTGAAAAAGAATGTTAGGTCATTGCTTGGCCATTACAAAAATTTTGCCCTTACGAATACGGACGCCCAATTGATGTCGTTACTGACCATCATTCACTCTGTTGGCCCGCTTTATTGAAAGATCCTTTGGGTCGGCTTGGCCGTTGGGCATTACGTTTACATGAATAGGACATTCGCGTCATTTACCGCTCAAGACGCAAAGATACTGACGCAGACCCTCTTTCTCGTTCGCCCCTTCCTTCAGCCCTTGCACCTCTTTCCTTTGCAGAAGCCACCATCGACCGCATCGATATCGCTGGCATGCCTTCGGAACAGCACAAGCACCCATGGGTAGCCTGGCTCATCGACGTTCTCTCTTTGTCTTCGGCGACACCATGCCATCGTCTACTTCGTGCACTACGCCGACAAGTTCCTTATAGTGCGATACGGGTTGCCATGTTATACCGTCGCAACTACTAGCCGGAGGTAGAAAATGGCTTAAACCTCGCCGTTTGCGTTCCACCCTGTGCGCGTACTTCCACGCAGATCCCCCAAACGTCCACGTTGGTGTTTTGAAAGCATACGACAAGCTTCGCAAGCGATTCTTCTGGCGTGGAATGCACTCGTATGTTAGCGAGTACATACGTCCCTGCACTGAGTGTCAGCAATGGAAAATTGGGGGTTCCTTAAGCTTCGCCTTTAAGTGTTGAACGGGATAGCAAAAACACACACACACAGCATCAAATGAAACGCAGCGTCAAATGAAACCCAAAAACAACACAGCATCAAATGAAACCCGAACAGTGGCAAGTCTTTGCAATAAAAAGCGCAGTATAAGTACACAAAAAATAAATAAGAATGTACCGTTTCACGCGCCAATTTTAATAAAATCCAGAGGTCACACTCGGCAGGCCAAACAACATCTTAATCTGCTAATAGTACACAATGTCTACGGCCATCGAACAGTACCTTTTGTTGCTGCTAAAATTTGGGACAGTTTTCCTACCCTAATTAAACGTGTACCAAATATGATGCAGCCCCTCATGAAACTCTTTCTATCAGAGAGTTACCTGTTGTAATGCTAATAATATGGAAATACATGTACATGTCGCATTATTTCTGTTTTTCCCTACATGTCAGCATATGACTTTGTAATCTCTAGGTGAATTCTCAGGGTGAAGATTTTCCTGACTAATTAAACAAAATGTCTTGTCTATAACAAATCCTTAACTGCCCTATTAGCTACGGATCCGGATGTTTTCGCACAAATGTTTGTAAGCGATTTCTTTGAAAATAACGCATTCTTCTTCATAGTGTAGTGCGTGCCGTCCAGTTGTTCTTGTTGTTGTTGTTCTCCTATTGTAAGTGGTGCCTACCCACTGTGGGGGATTGGCCAAGAATCGAGTGGTTTCAGAATTTACTGTTCAGATTTTGAATGATGGACGTTTAACAGAAAGATTACCGATAGCCTAGGAAAGTGTGTTGCTTAATGTAATGCATGCAAATATTTACATAAACAAATTTATTCTTAGAATAGAGCAGTATTATGATTTTATATGTATATAATTATGTGGACCTGTTAGGATAATGAAACTGGTTAATTAGTCAACCTATTAGTTTCATCAATATAGTCCCGGACGGCCGCGCATACTGTCGCATCAGAGAAACCAGAAATGGAGGCTCCAAAAGACAAAATGAGAGGCAGAGATAAGTCCATACCATACCACGTAAAGGTATTTCTAATAGGGTTTTTCGTAATGTGTTAAACCGCCTGCAGGTCAAAAAGAAATGGTCTATTGTTTCAGTTCATCACAGAATGCACACAGTGGTGAAGGTGCCTGAGCAGACCTGTGTTTATAGAAATTTAGATTTGGTACCCGGCAACGCAGCCTTGTGATAGCTACTTCTTGTTTTCGAGTGCGGCAAAAGTCTCTTCGCCAGGGATATAATAAATGGCGATATTCTGTAGAGTTTGTTAGTGCTGAACCTTTAAAGACTTGCATAAGCGTACGTCTGCGGAATCGAGCAGCAGTCACATAAGTGGACAGTATCACCATTGACAAGCGCACGCATCCTGTTTAGCAGGTTTGCTAATTTATTTATTTATTTATTTTATGAATTTACAAAATACTGTAAACGCTCCTTGAGGGTTATTACAGGAGTGGAAAAGATACAAACTTTTTACAAGCAAGGCAATGCAGTGGCAATACAAGAAGAGTACATAAGAAACGAAGCCCCGCCGCGGTGGTCTAGTGGCTAAGGTACTCGGCTGCTGACCCGCAGGTCGCGGGTTCGATTCCCGGCTGCGGCGGCTGCATTTCCGATAGAGGCGGAAATGTTGTAGGCCCGTGTACTCAGATTTGTGTGCACGTTAA